GATGAAAATATTGAGTTGAAAAAAGAAGGCTCCAAGATGAAAGTATGAGCTCACTTTCAGCCTGAAGCCAGAAAGTGCTGTGGAGCATTGGCAGCAAGGAAGTGAACAGGCAAGTAGAACAGGAAGTCAAGGGGCTAAGAGCAGCCTGTAAACCATACAGCTGGGGGAAAATACATTTCCTTATTAAAATGCCTGGAACCCAACAAATCTGTTACAACTTTAAGATTTTCACAGAAGGGGATTTTGAACTGGTAGATACTTGTGACATCACCCACAGCAAACATTTCATGAATGAAAATGGAGATAATTTTTTTTTTACTCTTGTTATCCATTATCCATGGCTTGGGAATTTTTCAGAATTAGTAATTGGAGACAGATTTTCTCTGAATCTTTATCCAGACTGTCCACTCCACACACACACACACACACACACACTATTGATTAAGTACAGTTCCCTTCCTGCCAACATCATATATGGGCAACCACAAATTGACCTTCCCTACATAAGAATATTTAATCCATATTTTCTTAAAATTTTACACTAGAAAATATTTTGTGTTCTCTTTCCCCCTTTTCTACATTGAGATATTCTCTATAAAGCATGTCTATTTTTCCCTCACCTTGCGTTGAGCAAACTTCTTCCCTTGCATATGATACGAAATGAGTTATGTCTCATTTGACAGGAAAATTCCAGACTTCTTTGTTGCAGTAGGTGAGAAAAGAGACATATTGAGTAGAATTTTGGGAATAAGAGGATTGACCCTTTTAAAGAGAAATAAGGTAAAATGTTATCTTGGGACTTCATCCTAGATAGCACAGAAGCCCTAACCGTGTTCACAGAAGTCCCTAAAGCTGGCTTGTAGGACTCAGGGGAGTGTATGTGCTACTTTCCTCCATCTGAAATAAATATGTGAGGGAAATAAATAAAAGAAAGAACACAAAGAATAAATCAAAGAATGGAGGAAATAAAGCCTAAATATGGGAATCTCCATATAGATTTAGGATATGCAAGAAAGGAAAACACCAATTTTCAATAACCACAGTGTTTCTTTTAACAGTTATGAAGATGGCATCTCCTGGGTTTCATAATATGCAAAAATGAAAAAGAAGATCATTGGCTTCCATTGAATATGTCTGCTCTTCCTTTTGTGTAAATAGCTGATTTCTAAGAAATACCATTTCCATACTATGTAGCATAGGCATATCCAGTTGTTCCTGAATTATCATCATGTCTTATGATTTCTCCAGCTTGCTGGGGCTGGTAGGCAGTAAAGTCCAACAATATCTGGCTAGCCACAGCTTCCTCTGCCCTGCAATATAGGAATAAAGAGCAGATATATGTGGATGACTGTTGCGATCTGCTCTGCAAGGATATTGTTTACCCATTTGCCAGCATCTCTGGTCACACTGGACAAAGTCTCTGACATGCAATGCAGGATGGGATACCCTTGTGGACCCGATGGAGCACCTAGGTCCAGCCTATGACTGATCTGTAACAGTGTCTAGATTTTTTTGCCTTCAGATATATTTGCTTTTGCATTTGCCATAAGATTTTTTACTTTGGTTACAAGAAGCACAAAGGTGCCAAATTTCAGTCCAGAATGTACCTTTATAGCTAAGTTATAAATCTTAGGAAAACATTGGACGATATCATGGAAATGCTGGTGACAATATCATAAATAAAAGCCTGCTTCAGAAGAATTTCCAAGATCCCCAGTTCATAAAAAAGTTAACATTTCAATTGAGACTCCAATCAAATTTCAATTCAGCAGCACACTGTAGAATGATAGTAAGTCTTATATCATTCTTTTCTCCTTCCTCTAAAAGGAAATTTGCTAAAGACTTATAATTATTCATAGTAGCAGAGGATGAACGTATCCCATGGAGGAATGGAGGGATACCGTTTCCTGATAATGTGTTTCCTTCCAAGAAGATATTTTTCCTTTTGGAGCTCATTCAGCTTCAGTCTCTTCACAGCAGGTATCTTCCACAGGAGAATAAATAATGTAATGTGCAAATCTACTCTTCTACAACTATAGAAACAGATTGTTTAATAAAGCCAGTTTGGTTTTGCAAATGATCTGCAATCTTTACATTCATGATTGCTAAAAGGATGATTCATCTAACCAATGTCCTACTCCCTTCTCAAAATGTTAGGTCCTGCCTGTTGCCAATAAGAGAATTCCAGATCTATAAATTATAGTTTCATATTCAAGGATGTCTCCTCAATTTCCTTTTATTCAGCCTCTCTGAGGGATAAGGAAGCTGTGGCCTTCCAGGTTTTGCTGAACTTTGACTCTTATCATACCTTACTATTGGCCGGATGCTTAGTCTTACTAGAATTAGAATACAGCAATATCTGCAAGGGCAGACACTCTCCAGCTTTCCTACATATCACAATTTTCATTTTTCCTAGTCCTTTCCAGATATAATTCTCCATTAACCATGATTCCCCAAACTAGTATCCACCAAATCTTTCAAAATTTAGTTGTCATATTTGCCAATCCCAGGTCATATGAAACTGGGGCCAATGGTATTGTAGTTCAAAACATCTGCAGTGCACAAAAAGTTGGGATGGTGCTATAAGAAAACAAAGGCCACTTCTACACTGCCATATTAAATCCAGATTATCTGCTTTGAACTAGATTATCTGGCAATGTATTCATATAATCCAGTTCTAAACCGATAATGTGAATTTTCTGCTTTGATAATCTGGATTATATGGCAGTGTAGAAGTTGGCCAAGGGTGACCATTTGTGTTCCTGACTGTCATATATTGGTTGGAATGCATAGAAATATGTTCAGTGTACATGCATAAAAATAATCTATATGCATGCACAGAAATATATAATTGTCAAAGAGAATGTCCTCATCTCACGTTTTCTATTTCCATTTCATTTTTCTATATATTTTAAAAGTAAACAAACAGCGGTTTCAACCTGAAATCTTGCATATCAAGAATCATTTTCAGTGTCATTCTTTCCTGTGATAAAAGCTCAATGGAATGTGGAGTGTGAAAACGACTATTCTATACCCACTTCCAATGAAATTCAAGGGAACATAATTCTAAGGAGACATGTATAGGATTATCGTGTAAGGCAATCCATTCAACCCCACTCCACTCCTTTCCGCATCCCCTTGCCATGTATAGTAAGACTGGTTTGGCTTAGCTTCATTCTGAATTATTTACATTTAGCATATCCTAATTTAGATGTTTTCTAAATTAGGGCATATGCTGATGATTTTTAAAGGAAAAGAATAAGAGCTTGCTCCCATAATTTAATCAAGGAGAAGCAAAGATTCATACACATAAAGGTTGCAGATTGTTTTTCTCCTTCGTCTGATTTCTTTCTCTCTTTCCCCCCCTTCTACGCTGAGCTAATGTTTAGCTTTATAGAACAGAATGTATTAGCAACCCTAAATAGGTTTTTTTGTAAGGGCAGGATATTTTTCAACAACAGACTCCCTTTTGCCAAACACCCCAGCATTTGTCTCCAAAGACTTTCAAAGCAAGGAAAGAATGAAGAACGGAAACCATAAAGCATGCATTACTGCTATCATCTAATTACTGAATGAATAGAACAGTTGTTTTGTCTGACTGCACTAAGCCAGTTATCCACTGCTAGCTTCATTGACAAAAAGGGAATCCGCACAAATTATAGGGAAATTCAAGCACCAAAGGAATGTTTTGGTTCAGGGGTTTGCAGTGACTATTGGCTTTGCTTCCTGGCCAAGTTTGCCTCTGCCATGTGAACTCTCCTGGGCTGGGTCAGCCCCAGTGCTTTCCAAAAAAGCCTGAGAAGAGGACGGGCTTCCATGACATCTGTGTCCCATAAATAAATTAAACTGATGTTCTCCAGTGCAAATTTGTTTCTTGGCAAGCTAGCCTGCAATCAGAGAATGAAAAGCCTTTCATTTGTGAACTCCAGCAAGAGGAAGAAATTTTTTGTATGCAGATTCACCAGAGACCAAACTATTAAGCAGCAGAAGAGGAAAACCATATGCTGTAGTTCTCCTTAAATATGCACCCCAAAGACCCAAACACTTCTGCAGGATATCATTCTTTGCAACCTGGATTTTTTTTCTTTCTGTGATTTTTTTTTATTTCTAGTCCTTGTGGAACCAAAAGAAAAAACTGTTAAAGGGCAGAAACCACTATAAAGAGTTCTTAAAGTAAATCTAGGATGCATCTACACTATAGAATTAACACAGTTTGACACCACTTTAACTGCCATGGGTTACTGCTATGGAGTCATGGGAATTGTAGTTTGGGGAGGCTCCGGCACTATTTGGCAGATACATTTTAGGTTATGTCTTTTATTTTATTTTATTTTATTTCGTTGTTTTAAATGGTTCAACTTGCATTTCGATCTAGGGGTATAAATACTACATTTGAATTCATAAATGAAATAATGTTTACAAAGCAATTCTTTATCACTTCTATAAAAAAATTGCTACTTATAATAATAGTTATTTTTGTTACTATTATTTTACAAACAGTAGTATTTTTTTAATTCTACAGCATGAGGCACAGTACAAATCCCACTGAATCAGGTGATTGTCATTCTCAGCCTGAGTGAGGCCACAACCCTGAAATTGTAATTAACTAAAATTAATTATATTATATTGGGCACTTTCAGATAGCATCAACATGCAGGTTTTAAAAGTGGGGCAAAAAATCCCAGGACCTGACAGCAAGTCCACATACAGACCTGTCAGTCTCAAGAAATGCTTCCCCACCATCCTCACAACTTCTTTTGAAGTGGATCAAGATGGAGGGTGGATGGAGGACATCTGGTGGAAGTTTTTTAAATAAATAAATAAATATATGTCTCCAAGATGTGGCTGGATCTCATGCACTCATGCAGAGATCTACACAAGCAGGTTTCTTATTCTCTTCACCCAACTCTAAATTCAAGCTCTGTTTAATATTATAAAGATCTAAAGAAAGGAATGGTTACAGAGAATTCTAATTGCTTTCCAATTCTGCTTCCCTTTAGCTACCTATGTGTCCATGGTTACATTTTTGACAGCCCAGTTAGCTTTTGGGGGCTTTTTAAATGTTCATATGCGCTGGAGCAGTCCACACAGTGAAATGGGAAGGAAGTTTTGCATCACTGCAGAAATATACACTCATGCGAAGGTGAGCATTTTTGGAGTGGAATTGAGTTTTAAATGCAACTTTTAAAAACATGCTTTTCAGCTATTTGAAAAGAAGATGACAAGGAATAGGAATGCTATCTCAGATTTTTCTCCACCTGACATCTCTCCTATTGTGGTGGGTTGCAACTCCCATCATCTCAAAACAGCATATCTGGCAAGCACCGACTAGAGAAGGGTGATTTAAACACTATGGAAGTTAAGAAACACAGGATAACTAGGGAAGATGACTGCTTAAGAACCAGGAAAATATATTTGGTTGGTTAAGCCTTGGTAGAGTTGAGTCTTAAAGCTAGTTCATATGACTTGCAGGCACAGGGCCAACTGCAAATTTTCCATCCGTGCTGGCACATCTCACCAGCCAAGAGTGAAGACATAATTCAGCACTCCATTTCAAACGCACAGTCTTTTCACTGCTGCAAATCATCTCTGGGAACAGGTTCAGTAGTGTCCTATAAACACCAAATTTTGGGAGACACTGCCTCCTGCAAATCAAAGTGAAGCACATTCATCTCTTTGATTTCAATGCAGTTTAAAAACATAAAAAGAACCGACTTGGCTTAAGGGCATCTACACTATAGAATCAATGCAGTGTGATACCATTTTAAATACCATGGCTGAATTGTATTTTGGTGAGGCATCAGCACACTTTGGCAGAGGAGGCTAAAGACTGTAAAACTACATTTCCCATGATTTCATATCATTCAGGCATGGGAGTAAACATGGTGTCAAACTGCATTAAATCTACCTCAGGCCCTCTCTACACAGACATATAAAAACCTAGTTTTGATGTGTAAAGATGTATAATTGAATACTAAAGAAAGAATTGTCCATGCCATGGTATTTCTAGTTTCTATAAATATTGTGAAAGATGGACAGCGAAAAAAGCTGATAGGGAAGAATTCAACTTATTGGATATGTGGTGCAGGAAAAGAGTTCTGTAGTTACTATGGACTGCTCAAAAGACAAATAAATGGGTCCAAGAGCAAGTCAAGCCTGAACAAAACCTAGAAACCAGTATGACTAAACCGGCTATTATAATGTGGTGATATCATGTTGAGCATGATGCACTACACTGCAGTAGAAAGTGGAATAAAATCTTAACAGATCTAAATATAAATAGGCTCTTTTAACTTAGTTGATTGCCCATCTCAATAAAACAATTCAAAAGACTATATCATACCTGAGACAAGGAAATGCGGAATTGTGTTGCTGTATTGTTGTGGGGAGGAGAAGAAATAAGTAAGATACTGCTCTGAGGTCACTGGAAGAAAGAACTTCATTTCCTTTTGGAAATTAAACTATTTCTACATGAACCTACTTACAGAAATCTCAGTTCCATAGCAAGCATTTACCTTATCTTGACAAGCTTCTTACTGTTTGACTATTCTGACAGTTCTTTAAAAACTGACTTTTGCTCTCTGCAAACAGACTAGCCCTTCCTTGCAAACTACAACGTTCACCCATGAGTGGGTTAGTTTACATCTCAGAGATTCTGTGACATTTTACTCATTAAGTAAATATTAAAAGGCAGCACTAGAAACCTTGCTAAATGACAGTTTCCCCCTTATTTCTTGGCTCAGAGAAGGGCTATAGAATTACCTTTAAAATCTGGGCTAAGTTGTAACCCAAACAGGGTACCAAATAAAATGCCTAGGATCTAGATAAAATCTGACTAACCAAGGAAAATGGCAGCCTTACTCCAGACACCTCAGGCAGCTCTTTTCATGGTCTAAAAAGGTGAACGTCCTTTTCTTGAAAATCAATTCACCTTTTATATACATTACAGTTAGGCTTGTGCATGGATTCAAATTGGATGGTTCTCTTCAGCCAATCCGGCTTGTTCAGCATGTTCGGATGGCTGGGATGGTAAAAGGTCACCTGCCACTTTTTTCCCCCCAAAATGGTCCACGTGGCCACCAGACATGGCTTCTTCCCTTCTGTTCAGGAGCATGTGGTGCATGCTTTCTTAACCCCATTCTTCAAACCCAGACTCCCTTGAAAGGAAGATAGGAAAGGGTCCCAGGAGGGGTGCTTCTTTAACCACGTTCTTCAAACCCAGACTCCCTTGAAAGGAAGATAGGAAAGGGTCCCAGGAGGGGTGCTTCTTTAACCATGTTCTTCAAACCCTTGTAAGGAAGAAAGGAAACAATCCCAGGAATAGAAAGGGGAGCCTCATGAGTTCTCCATTCCTGCCAATGGGCCAGATCTTCTCAGATTTTTCGGTTGCATAGCCAAAAACATATTTCCCTATTAGCCAATTTTCAGGAGACTCCCAGAAAACCGATCTGGGTATCCAACGAAATTCAGATCCTAAAAATGGGTTGCCCTTTAGCCAAATTGCACACACCTAATTACAGTGTTTGCAGCAATTGTTTAACATGTTAAAAATAATTCCTGTTGTTTCAAAAACAAGTCTTATGATCATTTCTAGTTTTGCTTTGCTTTGTTCTCTGTTTGGGGCATTTTTTGCAGATTGTGCCTCCCCTGGTGAGCCCCTGGTACAGAAAAACAGCCTGGTTTCCCTTCCCACCCCTGCATAGGTCGAATTTGGGAAACATTGTCTGGTTTAAAGTCACACAGAGAGCTTTATAGTTCATTGTGGACTAAAACCTAGAACTCCACCTCAAATCCCTATATAACACCATAGTTTTAATACTGTACAAAAAAAAGTCTAATAATTTTCATTATGCAGACCACTGTGAAAGCCACCCACTGCATGGCTACCATCCTCCTCCCAGTAGACTTAAATCAAGGAAAAGTTTCTTGAGAACCACCACCCCTCTTAATGTCCCTCCAGCAACAGAAAGAGTATCCCTGTGGGCAGCAAAATCAGGCAATTCCAACTGGATGAGCCCCACAAGGGCCTTCCTCTAGGGGCAAACCAAGAATGGGCAATGTAGAAGTTACTGAATAGACTCGGAAGTTGAGTGGGCAGTTCAAAAGCTAACCTGGCAAAATGGCACTATCTAGAAGAATCCTCCACCTTGTGAGACTGTGGAACAGAACAAACAACTCCACATCTGTATGCTTGTCCACAATGCCTTGCCTCATGCAAGAGGAAGAACTATTTAAAGCAATAGATAATGTGGTTGCTGTTGCCCGTTTTTAGTCTAAAATTATTTAGCTGCTTGTGTTCCCTCTATTTTATCCATTTTATACTTGTTTATTTTTGCCATGCTTTTGACACGAAATAAATAAATAAATAAATCTTTTTATGTGAAGCTGTTTGAGTTTGAAGTTTCTGTAATTGTGAAACTTTTTGAGCATATTTTATGATGCAGGTGTGGGAACTGTGCAGTCATCCAGATGGCATAGAATTTCAACTTCCAGCATTCCTTACAATTTTCTAAATGCTAGGAATGGAGTTGTGGTTCAACCACATCTGGAGGGCCACATAATCTCCTTCAACAAATGAGTAACCATATACAAAAAGAAATCAACTTTGTTCTTTTGTCCTATTACAGGCACAGGCTACAAATCTGCCTTGAGCCCTAGTACAATGGTGAATTTTGAGGGGAAGGCCCTCATAATACCTGTCACAGCAAAGCCACTTGAAGAGTCCAAAGATGCAACAACCTTCATTGATCCATATTACCAAATTAGTTCTAGCAGAAGCAATTATCTTATAAAGTTACTGAGTCCTATAATCCATTAATAAAATTAATGAGTCTTACAGTCCATTCATAACCAAACAACCTCCAAAATATTTTGTGCTACTAGATGAATAAATAGCCCATAAGAATACAGATGGATGGATGGCAAGATGGATGGATGGCATCCTTGAAGTGACTGGACTGACCTTGAAGGAGCTGGGGGTGGTGGCGGCCGATAGGGAGCTCTGGCGTGGGCTGGTCCATGAGGTCACGAAGAGTCAGAGACGACTGAACGAATGAACAACAACAAAGAATACAGTGTTGCTGGGAAAATACCTCCAGCTACAGTGAAGGCTCAAGTTATAGCAAGGCTTGGGGTGGTGGGGGTATATTTCTAGTGATCCTGCTAAGCAAAAGCCCTAGCACTTGGACCCTATGACCCTGATTCCATTACACCAATGGTCATGTTTGTTTCTGATGTCCTATATGTTTTACACCTAAGTGGTCTCACTCTAGCATTCAAGACTGCTGAAATCATCTAAATAGTACATGTTCCTCAAATCAAGTGTGCAAATAACATGTACAAACAGGTTACCTCTTCCCCTTATCAATTCCAAGGGAAAGATTCCTTTTCCCAGTTGCATTCTAGGTAGAAATCTTGCACACTAGTGAAGAAAGGTTGTATAATCAATCAAGGATTACTTCAGCAAGCTAGAAACAACTGAACTGGAAACATAGCATGTGATTTCTTCAGATATTTTGCCACTGCCAAACACGGGTGAAGAAAGGAGAAGAGAGATACTGGAAATGAACCAGTCGATGATCTGATAGAAGAGACAGGAGAGTTTCAAATTCACAGATCAGTAGAACGCCTTCTGCTAGGGGAGCCAACTATTTGGATTAGGCTGTCTCCACTTAAGTGGAGAGATTGCCAGCCTTTGAGGGTAAAAACTGGCAAAGCCTGTTAGGCAGGCTTTTAAAGCTGGGAGGAAGGGAAGTGGAGAACTTTCACTTACTTAAATCATCTGTTATGCTTTTCCAACAATTAAATTAAGACAGAAGCTGAAGTAGTTCTGAGGCAGATGGATTAAACACACGCAAACACCCGAGCTCATAACTGTAATAAGTAACAAGTGGAAATGGTATTGAATGGTAACATACTTTATACTGATGCTGACCTCAATGAAGATTTCTAGAATAACAAGGAAAAATTGCCTAGACTAATAGCTCAATTCTGCACTATCAAAAAAATAAGAAGGAAGGGGCATAGACAGATATGTTAACTTGACCCTCACTATAAATGTATTTGTGGAACTAGTGCCTGCAATTTTACTTAATTGAATTTTAAAAAGTTATCTCTAGAAATTTTCTAGGTCTTTCAGCATGATTTCATGATATGCTTCTGCTGGATATTGACCATGGGGTTGCTCTGGGATATCTAAAAATGCCAGAGGTGTACTCTCTAGGCATTTTCTAGGTTTTCCAGTGCGATTCTATGGTATGCTTCTACCAAAAGTCATTTCTTAAAATAAGATTCACTATTATCTGCAGTTTCTCATTTCCATAGTTTGCCCAGCTATGTATCCCCCATAGATATGGGGATTGTATTGCATTCCAATAATAGAGGAGAATGTAAAGTTGAGGGAGGGGTGGACGTTGTTGTATGCTGAAGGATGGTCAGCTATAGAAAGAGCATATTTTATGAAACCTTTTTTAAAAGGTTAGCAAGGTGACCTAAGCAGATAAGTTCCATTGTATCCCCATATTTGTAGCTCCCTGGTCATGAGCTGCTTGCAGTCTCCAGCTTCCACTCCAATCTACCACTATCCATTCTCTGTGCGTAGTGACTTTGTTGCTCTTTCCAAAAGTTTTGACTTTGTGTAAGAATGCACTGGCTATGTTTTCTTCAGGAGACAAACAGCAATAGTAAGTATAAAGAAAAATGAGCAGCCCTGGAAAGGAGGAGGAGGAGGAGGAGGAGGAGGAGGAGGAGGAGGAGGAGGAGGAGGAGGAAGGAGGGACTTGGTGGGACAGGCAGAGGCAGCCCTAGGTAATTTTCAATGGTAAGCAAACAGTATTTTGGCGCCCCCCTCCCCACCATATATATATAGGGGCATGTGTATATATATGTATGCATATATATATATGTCAGGAACTGGTTTCTAGGCCTGGAGTCTTGGCGCCATAAACCAGAATCCTGACACGGACTGATAAGAGTGTGCAGCTGGTGGCCTTGGGGAAAAGCAGTTGATGTTTGGCGGGGAAGGTTGCGCGGGTTTTTCGGCTGGCGGGAAGAGGGAATTTGATTGTGAGGGAGGGTATATAAGGGTTGAACTGCGGCTGCAAGCCAATCCTGGCTTTTCTTGTGTATGAATGTCCAGCAGTAAAAGTTTCCTGATTGATTACGGATTGTCGTCCTGTGTCATTATTGGGAGCGGCTGCTGTGAGCTCACATTAAGCCAGGATTTCAGTACCATCCCGCAGCTGCGGTGAGGTACCTTCATGGAACGGGAGGAAGTTCCAGCGGCAGAGGGAGAGCCGGAATCCCTGGTTGGGAATGCGGAGGAGGAGCTGGAGAGAGTGGCAGCTTCGGCTTCACCAACTGCTTACACCCGGCCCAACGGAGCAACCCAGGGGCGAGTGAAGGGGGCCGAGGCGGCGGCGAAAGAGAGCAGTGGGTTGGATCTCCCTTCCCCGCAGAGATTGGACTATCTGGAGGGAAAAGCAGCGTCTGTGGAGACGACCCTCGCAGTGATGTCAAGGGTGATGGAGCAGCTAGCCCCCTTGATAGAAGAACCCCGACCCCAAAGGGAATCAACGTGGAGTGCGGGGGAGAGGAGTGGCCGGGAACCTATGCAACCATCCCAGCAGACGCTTCTGGTGCCCCCGGGCGGAGCCGGGCGCGGCACAGGGCGGCACGAATTGCCCCCGGAGCAGCAGGGGCTCCAGGGAGGGCCACCCCGAGCGGAGAGCCGAGGGGAGCAACCCATCGCCCCGCGACAGAGGAGGGAGGAGCTGCGGATCGAATTCGGAGGTGAAGCTGGGAACCTCGATTATTTCCTAACCATAGTGAGGGGATACCTGGAGGACAACGCAGCCACCTTCAGATCGGAGGCAAGCAGGGTGCGAGCAGTGGGTGCAGCACTGAGGAGAGGAGCAGCGGAATGGTATGTCCAACTCCATGCCAGGCATGACCCATGTTTGGGGTCCACGAGACGTTTTCTGGCGGCGATGGAGGCACGCTTTAGGGACCCGCTCGAGAGGGTCCGAGCGAGAGAGAGACTGCAAACAATAACCCAAGGCCAGCGCTCTATATCCGAATATGTGGAAGAATTCCAGCTGCGAGCAGATAAGGTGCCTGAGTGGTCCAATACTACTAAGGTCCAGATATTTAAGGGGGGCCTGCGGAGGGAAATCTTGACTTGGGCACTCCATCGCGACGATCCGGAGGAGATAGGCGGATGGATCGAGCTAGCTGGCCGCATCGAGACGACCTTGGCTCAAGTCACGAGACATCGAGGGGCGACGTCGCAGCAGCCGAGAGCCAAGGAAGAGAATCGGAGGGCAGAGAGGCACCCAGCCGGAGAACCTAAGGAGCAGAGAAGCGGTTGTTATGTATGCGGTCGTTTTGGACATCGGGCTGCTGTTTGTCAGCAGAGGAAAGGGGGGGACCCCCCTCAGTCAAAGTTGAAACCAGCGGCCGGGAGGAGAGCGGAAGAGAGCCTCCCTCATAGGACCCCAATGGGGGATCCGGTGAGTCACAGCTCAGGGATGTTAGTATTCCCGATAAGGCTAGAAGGGGAAGGGAAGTGGGCCAGCTGCAAAGCCCTCATGGACTGTGGCTGCTCCAGGAACATTATGACCCCAGAGTTGGCAGACGAATTGAAATGTGAGAAAGCAGCCTTACCAGCCCCTATAGCATTCTCACAACTGGATGGCTCGGTGGCTGCTGGAGCTCCGGCACGGTTTGAAGTAAGAGAGGTGCAATGCAAGATAGGGAATTGGGAAGGTGAAGTAACATTTGTGATATCCCCGATAGCAACTTACAATGTGATATTGGGGATGCCGTGGCTGAGAGAGGCGAACCCACAAATCAATTGTAGAGAGGGCAGCCTGAGCTTCCAAGGCGAAGAGAAGGGGGAATGTTGTAAGGGGGAGGGGAGCACAATTGATGGAGTGCAGGAGATCCCTCCCGAATACAGAGACTTTGAGGATGTGTTTGACGAAAAGGAAGCGGATCAGCTCCCTCCCCCCAGACGGGTCGAAGTGAAAATCGAACTCAATAAAGATGCTAAGTTGCCACGGAGTAGAATATACCCCATGTCGGCTAAGGAGATGGAAGAACTGAGGAGATATATTGATAAAAACTTGGCCCGAGGATTCATAACACCATCCGAATCCCCATTGGGGGCTCCAGTGCTATTTAGGCACAAGAAGGATGGTTCATTGAGGTTGTGCGTGGACTATAGGGGACTGAATGCAGTGAGCACAACCAACAGTTACCCGATGCCTCTAACCAAGGACCTATTGTCGAGACTGTCGGAGGCAAGGGTGTTCACGAAAATTGACTTGATTGAGGCCTATCATAAGTTGCGGATACGGCCTGAGGACAGGTGGAAAACAGCGTTTGCATGTGCGCTAGGGCATTTTGAATATTCCGTGTGCCCTTTTGGGCTAAAAGGTTCTGGGGGAGCATTCATGCAAATGATAAATGAGGTATTGCACCCGCTGCTGTATCGCGGAGTGTACTGCTTTGTGGACGATGTAATCATATTCACCCGTGATAAGCAATCACACGTTCAATTGGTGAGGGAGGTGCTCCAGAAACTGAGGGAAGCAAAGTTGTTCGCAAAGCTACCAAAATGTGAATTTAACAAGGAACAGATAGATTTCCTCGGATACAGGATCTCCCGGGGGGGGTGGCAATGGACCCTTCGAAGGTGGAGGATGTCAAGGGATGGGCCCCCCCCCGAACCCGCAAGCAACTGCAATCGTTCTTGGGGTTTGCAAACTTTTATCGGGTGTTCATAAAGGATTTTGCTCAGGTGGCACTACCCCTCACGGAATTGCTGAAGACCAAGGGGAGGGGGGAGACAACAAAGGTACGATCCCCGGGAGCTAAATTGAATTGGTCAGCAGAGTGCCAGAGGGCCTTCGAAGAACTAAAAACCAGATTTACAGAAGGGCCCGTCCTAACCCACCCCGATTTAGCAAAGCAATTTGTAATCCATTGCGACGCCTCAGACTGGGCTTATGGGGCGGCATTGATGCAAAGGGATCTGGAAGGGAGGCTGAAGCCCTGTGGTTTTATATCAAAAAAGTTCAGCGAGACCGAACGAAACTGGCCAGTGTGGGAAAAGGAGGCCCTATCAATTCTAAGAGCCCTAGAAACATGGAGACACTTGCTAGAGGGGAGCGGCATACCCTTTGAGGTATGGACTGACCATAAGAACCTGCAATATGTCACTTCGCCCAGGAGATTGTCAGCAAAACAAATAAGGTGGGCCCAATTCTTCAGCAGGTTCGATTTCCAGCTGAAGTTCCACAAGGGGAGACAAAATGTGGTCGCTGATGCATTGTCACGATTGCCGGAGGATGAAGGGAGGGGGGAAAACCCAAGGGGGAGCATTTTTTCGGAGCGGCAGTGGGGCATGGCAGTGCAAACCAGAGCACAAGCGGAGCGCAGCCAAAAGCTAGTGGGGGTGGAGAGCAAAGACGGGGGATGGGAAGAGGAGATAAGGCAGGCATGCAGGGAAGACGAATGGCTGGAGAAGAACAAGGAAAAGGTGGAATGGAAGGGCGGATTGGGCTTTGTAAACAAGAAAGTGTATATCCCAGTCGGCCTACGAAAAAAATGATGGTTAGATGCCATGACAACAAGGGAGCGGGACATTGGGGAGTCACGAAAACCCTAAAACTACTGGCACGCCAGTGTTGGTGGCCCGGGATGAGGGGTGACGCGAAATCATATATATACCAATGTAATGTATGTGCACAGAACAAAACACCCACACAGAAACCCACAGGGTTGTTGCAGAAAGTAGCAGAGCCATCGAAACCTTGGAGAGTGATTGCCATGGACTTTGTGGGTGAGCTCCCGAATAGCCGAGGTCAGCGCTACATATGGACGGTAATGGACTTGTTTTCAAAGCAGGCACACTTCATAGCGCTGCCCAAATTGCCGTCTGCTGAAAGATTAGCCGAACTGTTTATCAAACACATTTATCGGCTGCATGGCTGTCCCGATCAGGTAATCAGTGACCGAGGGGTGCAGTTTGCGGCACGTTTCTGGGAACGATTCATGCAACTGATGGGGGTAGAAAGAACACTGAGTTCAGCATTCCATCCCATGACCAATGGGGGGGTTGAGCGCACACAGCAGACGTTGGGGTTTTTCCTGAGAACGTACACTAATCATTGCCAAAACAATTGGGCCGACTTACTCCCATTTGCAGAAATCGCATATAATGGAGCCTGTCACGCATCCACAGGGAAATCCCCTTTTGAAATAGTTTACGGCATGGAAGTGACCCCTTTGCCAAAACTGCCAAGTTGGGAGGAGGAGGAACCATGGGGAAGGGAGGGGTGGCCAGACAAAGTAAGGGCGAGTTGGGAGGAGGTCGTAAAATCACTCAGAGAAGCCCAACGAAAATATAAGTTATTTGCGGATAGGAAAAGGAGGGAAGGAGAGAAATTGGAGGAGGGGGACTTAGTATGGTTAAGTACAAAAAATATCAAATTGGATACCCCTTCTAGGAAATTATCTCCAAAATACATTGGTCCGTTTAAGATCTCCAGTAAAGTCAATGAGGTCACATACACATTGCGACTGCCAAAGGTTTTGGGAAAGATACACCCAACGTTTCATTGTAGTCTGTTAAAAAAATACCAAGGGTCGCTGGATAAGGAAGGAATGTAGCAGTGATGCATATCTTCCCTCC